TGTATTCACAAAACAATGCTTTTTTAGAGCGCTTATTTATCCAGAAGCTCTATTTACACACCCCTTAATGTGTTAGTTTTAAGCTGTGGTCAAACCGGATTGCTGCCTTGCTGTTTTCTTTGTGGGGCGGGTGGCAAAATCAGGCGAGTATGGGTGGTTTTGGAATTAATGTGCGGTTGAGTAAGCGGTTACTGTGAGCTGGTTAACTAGTTTGTTTTTTGGAACTGTGAGTCATAAGAGACATTAATTTGATTGAGTGATGTTTCTCCATGTAGTATTTTCAGAATACCACGAAGATAGCCCATCCTCTTGTTTTGTATTGGCTGGCAGAGGTTCTTGAATTCACATTCAAATTCACCGAAAGCTAAATGATTTTTCATGTTCTCGTGTCCTTTTCCACTGAATTGGCTTTTTTAGCCAGACAGGTTTTACTTGCATTTGGTGTGACTGTGGCTTTAGTCATCTTTTGGCATCTTTTTATTACGCTAATATAAATTCTCATTACTCAAAATTAGGTTGTACCCACTAACAAGTTTGTGGTACCAGTAGCCATACTTGGCAAAGTATGATTGTTCAATTTGTTAAAATCTCAAGTCCAGAAATAAAAAGGACATAGGAAAATGATAAACAATAAACAATGGTGAAGAAACCTTATCCTCCCAGAGCTGCCACTCAAACCCCAGGCCTGGGTTTTGTGCTTAATTAGCATTATTAACCTTCACGAAAATCAGGCTGGTTTTATTTTGCTATGGTGACAACTTGGGCTGTATCCCTCCGTTCTCCTGCATGAAGCATTTTAATTGGCTCCAGCTCCATGCTCGCCACACTCCTGACGGCATGGCGGAGGCGGATGCTCTCTGAGGTGAGCGACATGTAAATGGCCTTTTTATGAAAGGGGGATTTCTTTCTCTTCATATCCCTTCACTACGGTGGGACACTGAGCTTCCCGGTGCCGTGCAGAGTAGTCTTGTGACAACCGACAAATCATTAAAATTTTTGATGGCTGCCATGTATAGGCCTATCTCCAGCAGCTTAAGAGCGTACTGCTGTCTTTTGTATTTGCTCTCTGTCACCAACTGGAGCTAATTTATTCCCTTTTCTATAGATGTCTAACCCTTTCCAATTTATCTTGGTATCTGTTTGCTTTTGTTAATTTATATATTGTCATGAAAGGATTTTTTTTGCTGTAGGAGGCGCTATCATTGTGGCGATTTTGTACTGCACCATTGTACTGAAAAAACAGAAAGTGATATGTTTCTGACATCCAATATATTTCATAGAACTTCTCATGTAACAATTATCCACTTGCCATCTGAGGATATTGGCCACATGAAATGAAAATTAAAATATTGAAAATTAAACTCTTAGGGTTTTTATAATGAGGCAAAGATGGTACCTTACGGAATTGGAAAAAAGTAATTATTGAGGAGTGCTAAAGCTGACATTTTACCATATCTTGTTAATGATGTTCTTATCATTTCACCTGTTGTCTTCTTGTACATTGCGAACTCTTTTTAAAGAAATCTGTAATTCCAAGATCCTTATCTGCAAAGTTGAACATATTAGATAGGATGTAATTTAGAAATGTGTTGAAGTATTTGTACAAGCTTAGGTGCAAAAGAAAACAGCCTTTTTTCTCAGACATTCATGTCTACAACACAGTCTATATCTGAGTTGACTGCAGCTCAGAGTCCAGTACATACACTGACAGCAGTGCTTTTTCAGCTGAAAGGTGCTGATTATGATACTGAATAAATGCCATACTGGAATGCTGCTATCATGGCCACTAATGACTGTATTGAACAACAGTATTTTCTATTTCAAGCAATCGTATCTGTATCTCACAACGGGTGTGCATCTTGGTGTAGTTTTCAGAAGTTCTTCTTTCAGTACACCAGCCTCCACGGTCTGACCATCAAGATGTATCCATCAGGTCAAGGCCACTTCACTTCCATACAAAATGTTTTATTGTCATCTCTTTTTCAATAAGATCTTGCAACAGGACTGCCCTCCAAAGCTTGAGCTAACATCTCTGTCACCCGGTGCTAGCTTACCTGGATCGCGTGGTTTTCAAGGAACAAGCTACCTTGTATCCAAACAGTACCCTCTAGCTCGCTATCCTGTATCCAGGTAGTCTGCTGAATAACAAGCATCCAAGATACCTTCCAAGCAGAAGATTAAGAAAGGCATTTTTTTTCTCTTTTTGTTTGAAAACAGTGGTGCAGATCCCCTTACCCTCCCTCTAAGGAGAAGAAGTGACCCTTGCTAGACTACTCCTGCAGAAATAAGATTTTAAACATGGATGCCACAACCAGCTATGCTCCATGCCTTGAGTGACGACGTGTCCTGGCAGTATTAGCATCACCGATACCTCTGATTACTCTGCTCATATGTTCATGCTAGGCTGGTCTGTCCGGTTAGGACTGTCAATGACATGCACAGAGTTTTCTGAGGCTGTTGCAAGAGTTAACTTGTGATCAGCTTGACAGTGTTTATTAAATTCGATGATAGCCTTGTGGCCATGTAGCACATTTCCACCGATGCAGTAATCCTGGGCTGCCAGGAGTCCTGGTCCTGATGGCAGTGATGCAGATGGAATAATATTACCTCTTAATTTGATTCTGAAGGATGTGTGCAAAAGTTGGGCTCTCCATCTCCTAACATAGACCAGAGACTATGGGTTCCTCCTTGAAGGGGAAGAAAGACGAGCTCTTATCTATGAGGCACAGACATCATCTGCTCCTGAAGTGAGCCTTTCTCTGCCAAAAGTTCTGTCTTGTTCTGATTTTTGTGGACATGGAAGTAAGAGGATTTTCTCTTTTTGATCTGCAGATTTGTTAGAAGGCTATAGCTTTTGCTGGCCCAACTTTACAATCTTAAGACTCCCAGTTTTCCATGAACAGAAGACATTAGCCACATCACATTGAGTTGTAGAGGTCTCACTGTCTCACCTATGCATAGTATATCATGTTAAAGTTGAGAAGGCAGTAACTTCCAAGACCTTTTCCATGCTGTTTGAAATCTGCAGTGTGACTGATCACTGCCTGGGCCCGCACAGATGCATTGTCAAGGTGGCTGGAATGGCCCCATGGTGGTGCAGAAGAAGCTTGATTGCTCAACTTGTTCAGCGTGTCTCATAAGGGCGCTCATGAGCCCCTGAATGCTCGTGTAGACCTGAAGTGCTTTTTTGTTTTCTACTTTTTGCTACCATGAAGCAGTCATGTGAGGGAAACGCAGAGAAGTAAATGCAGACTACCACATTGCTGGTACTCTCCAGACCTAGACTGGAAGTGCCTCATGCCGCAGACAGAGCCCTCCTCTGTCTGGTTTCTCCATCCTCTCATAGCTGACCTCACCACAAAGAAAAGGTGAAACAGTGTTCAGTTGAAAGTTCCTTTTGGAGTCACCCTCAAATCTCGAGTAAATGTGTTCTCACTAGTGCAGCAAGGTGTAGAGCAAAGGGTGCTGTCGCACGTTTACAGCACTCTGTGTTGAAAAACAGTGCAAAAGAGGGTGATGAAAATTATACCTACTCAAGGAATTTTCTTATTCCAAAGGCTTGTTTCAGTTTTGAGTGACCTGAACATGTACCTCAGATGCACACATGCTGATGCATACAGCTTTTACAGTTTGAATGCCCCAGAGACTGATTAATCTTTGTTAAGCTGAAGGATGTTACATCCCTATATAGCCTCCTCACAGGAAATTACCTTTCAGGGTGTGATCTATTAATATCTAGTTCTTCCGTTCCAATATTTGCGGGTTTTTTGTGTATTGCTCTAAAGTGACCTTTGTGCCGCTCTGGGGCTGATTTGTCTGGCCACAAACACAGACAACTAGCCACTCAGTTGAGTGTTTTCATCACAGTAAATTGTGCATTGGCATTATGCCAGTGGAAACAGCCAGCATTTCCAATTCATAGCACTAGCTTCTGCAGAATGGGTTGCTGTTCACACATTTTTAGTGCACTGAACATGTGCTCATTTATTGAGACCTAACCCTGCGTTAAGGTTATTATGTCAGTGTCTCTTTAATATATTTCTATGCCTCTCTGTTTGTCTCTCATGAGCAGCAATGATTGCATATACTGTGTCTGGTGTGTTTATTTCATGTCTACAAAAACCTCCACAAATATTGTAGGAGAACCTCAGATAATGAAATAAAATACAAGAACAATGTAGCATACAAGCCCTTTAAGTTACAAACGTGAGCCTGATTCACTGATAGCATGCGTGATGTACCTTACCACACTTCTCTCTTTGCATGAAGTGACGAATAGATACTGCTTCATCTATTAAATATGGAGGCGTAGCCCCTCCCAATACATACTATATGTCTCAGCCAGTTGAGAAAAAGAACTTCTGAGGACTGTGTGCCTGCATCTGCAACGAGAGACCTCATTCATGCTACCAGGAAACGGGGATTATATTTGTAATCTGAAGCTTTCTTATAGTACCCAGTCTGAGAGCACAACAATAGTGTTTTGCTGTGCCAGTGCGAGAGTTTTAGGGACATAGAAGTTTTGTTTGCAGGGAAAAAGCCTAGATTTGAAGCTAATGGGCACTAGATGTCTCCCATATCAGTTGTAATCTTATTTCTGAAAAAGTGTTTGTGGTGATCAACATGAACAAGCAAATAGAAATGCCCCCTAATTCAAATATTATCAATAACTTGTCCATAATTATTTTTCTCCTGTGGGGAGGAAGGTTTTTGCAGTTCAGTTTGAAGATTAAAATTGAATTCTTACTGCTCTCTGACTTGGTGACTCCTTGACAGGTCTTATTATCACAATAGGTGTCGTGTTCTCACTGGATAGAGTTCCATGACAAGGTGACGCCAGACAGCCATTTCCTTGGCAGCATGTGATTGCCAGAGTGCTGCTTGCTCCTCTAATTCTATTACCAGATTCTCAGGCTTACCTCTACCAGAGTGAGAAAACTGAAATTAAGGGAAGTGGTATATGTTCATGTGATTTATTGGTGTGTTTCTTTGTCTGACAGGGGTGTAAGGGACTGAGCTCCTGTCAGTATGGACGCACAACCGCAAGGCCAGCAGCCACCAATACCAGTGTTTCAACCACAGGTTGGTGAACACGCACATTCCCACAAAAATGAGGACAGTGTGCAGTACTTAGTTTTTCTAAAAAGAAACTTTTTTTGGTCTTATATTGCTTTATATTGCTTTTTTATGGAATCACGATTAATTTAATATTCAGATTGATTCAAACAATAAAGTAATAGTGTTGTTGCCTTGGCAGTTGGGATACACTTGATACAGGAACTGTGGGCTGATGCTTATGCCTGACACTTTTCATGTATGTATGTATCTGCCAGTGCCAGAACCAATGACTGTACATAAACATGTTTTAAAAATGTAGAAATTAGAGCTACATCTATCTGGTTTAGCATTAATGTAACACTTATTTTTTAGAGGGTTCCAAATGCAGTAAAATTAATAAAATGCAAACATTTAAGCACAGTAGTCCAGTGTTACTGCTCTTCTGGAGTATAAATACATCACATCTGTTTGAAATATTGGTCAAATCTAAACATCTGTCCAGTCTGCCAATATGGATATGATTCTGATATCACTGTGCATCTCTAATTGGCAGTAATTCATAGCAATTCAGCGAATTAATTGCTACTCTCCTAAAAATACATGATGGAAATGACTTTTGCAAGTGACTCAAAAGTTTGGCATAAACCTTAGTGAGTGCTAGCTGCAATTTGATTGGAGTTACTTGCAGTAGTTTTGATGCTATGGTCTCCAATGATACCATGAAATACTGTGGTTAATTTACCAATAAAAGTGGTGATAATCTGCCCAGTGTTAATTAGTTCTCAGTGGACTATGTTCACTTGTTCTTGGGAAGTACCTTAGAATAGCATTAGAGTGGTACTTCATTTGCATATTTTTGTTAACAGAAACACACTTGCACTGTAGTTTGTGTCCTTTTGTTTAAATCTTTGAAAGGCTAAGGTGTTCGTAATGCGCAGTGGAATTGCTTACTGAATAGCTGAACAGAGACATGGCTGTTTCATTTATGTTTGTCCTCTTCATTGATTGTTTTGCAATTGTTTATAACAGCTGTCCGTTTTTCCCCTTTTCATTTCCATTTTACCAACCTTAGCCACAACTTGCTCGCTTGCCAGCATACAACATGAGCCTGTCGCCCCCTTCCACATCTGCTCCCGTCGAATCTCTCCGACTGTCAATCCTCCTGCAGAGAGACAGGCGGTGGTCTGCTCACACTGTCTTTCCTCTCTGGCTCCTCCTGTGTGCTAGATGAGAAGTGATAATGAGATTCCGTTCTCTGCACAAGCAGTGCTTCCTGCACACAAAAGCTATCATGTGTTTTCTCCACTGCATTGCCAGAGACAGAGAGGTGTTGAAGCTCAGCTGCTAGCACTCTCTCTCTCTCTCTCTCTCTCTCTCTCTCTCTCTCTCTCTCTCTCTCTCTCTCGCTTTCTCACTTACTGCTTCTCTTTCTCCCTCTTTCACTCTGCCTTCTCTCTCACTATGTGCCTCTCATTCTCTTTCTCATTCTCTTTCTGCAAAAATTATGTGCATACTTTTCTTGAATTAAGGATAATTGGCACCCAGCACCAATTTCATTTATCTACCGATGAGATGAATGTTGAATATGTAGAAGGTATACTTCAATATCAAGCTCCCATTCAAAGATACAGTAGCTAATCATTAGGGTTTAGGCTCACTTCTGTAAGGTAATGATTAACTGTTAGAATAAAATAAATAATTTTCTTTTGAATATACAGTAGGTTTCACTTCAGTCTCTTTAAGATGACTTTCCCTCCATGTTTTGCTTGTGACCTCTCTCATTTTAAGTCCTGCACCAGTGGTAGGAGTGAGCGATAGCACAAAAATATATTGTCGCGATACTTTAAGACATTTTTGCAATGTACAAAATGCATCACAATATTTTATTTTTCAGAGGTTTGATGATTTGGAACAAAGGAAAAGGAAAACTACGAAAACGATTTTTATTCAGCACTCACATATGGAGCTACACTAAATCCAATTAAACTTGATTAATTATGCTATTTTTGTTATGAAACATGCAGTTGGTCAGAGTTCTTTAAGTACACATGCGCAGAAAAGCATCCTGTGATGTAATGTATTGCAGAAAACGATAAATATTACCATACTGCCCTCTAAGTATTAGTTTTTTTTTGGTGAAGCTGGAAAGTAGTGAAAGAACAATGGTAAGCCTAGAGTTGCAATTCACAATGACAACTCAAGAAGATGACTTTTATAAGTCTGATGGATTACACTCAACAAGCATCCCCTTAACTCTCATCCCTTAAGGAAAAAAAAAGGCTGAGAAGAGTTGAGAATTGTATATGCAGTCATGGATATTCGGTATCGCTGGTGAGATCATACTGGTGAGTCCCGAAGGTATAATACATATGCATTAGAGATACGGGAAGAGTTGGTAAGACTTGCATATTTAATGGCGCATTTGCTCGCTGAGCGAGTGGGAGGGTGAGATTTTCAGATTCGATTTTGATCGTCACTTCGGATTTTTGACAGAGCAAAATCCCTGTGTAAAGCAAGGAGGGCTTTAAATACTGAAACAGATTGAAGAGGAGCAGAAACACTGTCGGGGTGAAGGAGGCATAAATATTGCATGGGCCAGGCCTGGAGAGGCGGGCTGATGAAAAGGATGGGAACTGGATCTCCTGCATGTTTTGCACTCCCCACCCCTGCTCCTCGTGCCCTGTCACACCCCCCTGCAACTCTCTTCCTCCCACCAACACCACCAACCCTGGCTCGCTGCTCTCGCACCTCTTCGCTGCTTGTGTTGTCCTTTCCCTGGCAGCTTCTGGCAGTGTTGTGCTGTCATCTCACACCTAGTCCTCCATGCTGCTACTGCCCCATCCTCCATCGCTCTTCTCTCCTACCCCCCACTCCCCCCCCCCACCCCCCTTGTCTCCTATGTTCCTGTCACTGGGCCGCATGCCTATGTTTCTCTTTTTACACCCATGTCACCAGTGGCCAACCCTCCGTACCCTGCCATTCCTCTTATGATGTGTTTTCCCTTCGAGTCATCACCCTGCATGCCTTGTTGCATCTGTGGCTCCCTCTGACCAGTCCCTCCCCTCCATGCTCTATGTAATTCAACTACAGACAGTGTCTGTCAAGTCCTAGCCTAAATTGCTAGGCAGTTATATCTCCTACACTCATTGTACCTCCTAACAGGTACATTTTGACTGATGTGAGGCAATTGCTGTGACATTGCTGAAAATCACAGGGAATACATTATAGTAGTTAGATGCTGCCACTCCACAGTTATCCTGCTGTGACAGTTGTCTTTAACTCAGTACCAGAAGATTTCCAGATTCCACTCTGGATCTTTTATGTAAAGACAAGGTCTTTCATGCTTCTTTGTTCTGCAAGCATGTTTTCTTAATGTTAAGGCCGGATTGATGTGTGAATTTCAAACTTAAAGGTTGGTAGATTTTAGTAGAGTAAAATACAAGTGATAAAATTAAAAGCCACGTCAAGCTGGGTTTATTTCTGTGCTTTCAGAAACAATATTGAAAAGTCACCAGTTGGACCAGCTTATCTGTGGTGAAGCTGTGTGACTGGGGTCAAAGCCTCCTCTGCAGTCCACCTGTCCACACTCCCGCCGGTTATTTTTGTTTTCTTCCCCCTCCCGCCGAGCCGAAACAAGCCCTTCGCGCTTCCTCTCCTTCTGCAAGCTGCGATCTGTACAAATTGCATTGCGTCTGCGGTGAATGACCCCGGCGGTCATCAGGGTCCTCGGCTGCTGTGCTTCATCCCGTCTCAGCTCGGCGCTCTAAATTGTGTGACAGCGCAAAGCCTTGAATGAGATGGCCTGTCAGTCAGTGCGCCCCACTGCCCTTTGAAGGCGAGGCCAGGGGGCGAAAAGGTGCCGCAAATGGCCTGTGAAGTTTACATACACTGCCCACTGCTAAACAGATTACCTCTAATGAAGTGTCTGGGGCTCAGGCCGCGTCAGGCCTAATCCTGGCTGGCAGCGCGTCCCTTCGGCTGCCAAAAAAGCCGCCACCCTCTGGCCCTCTCCCGCCGCTCTGCCGGCCGCCCCAGTGCTGGGAGGTGCCCGTCGTTAATCAGGCCGGACAGTGTGCAAGCTGACATGCAAATGTAGGTCATTGCATATGTAAATGTGTGATTAGCGAGCCGCATGCCAGAACACATTAGCGCGACTTTGCTCTCAGCATGCGCTTGTCACGCCGCTTTAGAGGCTCATGCTAACATTTGTCAAGCGACCGTGCAGGGAGTGAAAGCAATGCCTCACCCCTTCACTGTTTGGCTGTGTGGACCGTCCATTGCTGACCAACCAACCCTCCAACCCACATTACCCCCACCCTCACCCCCACCCCCACCCCGCCTTCCTCCGTCACTCGACCTCCCACCCTGTGTGAAGCCCTTTCACCAGCCTGTCCTTAAATGGCCACTCCAGAAGACATTGTTAATAATGATTGTTAGAAAATGAGTAAAAGCTCCATCCTGAATGAAATACCGTTCATCTGGTGGCAGGCATATAGTTGCGACAAAAGAGTATAATTCACTGATTTTTGGAGATGAAAGCAAAAAAAAAGATTTAAAAGACGGCTATTTCTTACAGAAAGGAAAAATACATTCAAAATTCCTCTCAACTTGATATCACTGTGGGGGGAAAAAAAGAAGAATTTCTTCTCTCACACCAGATGTGTCCCGGCAATAAGGGCTGAGTGTGTGGTGTCACAAGGAAAAACAAGCTACCTCGGTGTGTTAATTGGATGGGGCAGTTCTTTAGCTCTCACCTTTTTTTTCTCTCCTTAAAGCTGTCAAGTTAGGAAACAATGAAATGCTTGAATTGGCTGCCCCTTGATCTACATCCATCCTTCTAGCATCCAGCCAGTAGTGCAGTGAGCTGCTTCTTGAGATTTCTGTGAGCCCTTTGGGTTCATCCAGTCATGTACTATTGTATTTGATGGCTTCAGCAGACAGCCTGTACATACATCAGTAGAATATAAGAAAGCATTTTGTGCTTTAGCCATCAACACAAGTTCTTATTAATTATCTTTTGCTCTAAACTCTGGATTTCTGGAAGATATGAGTCTTAACCTAAACTTTGAAGAACAAGGTATAAAATACAGTTGTGAATAAAGGGAATTTTCAGATGAAGGAAATGGCACTTTCCCACTGGCTCAGGGCATGCAGTATGCTCTGCCTCAGGTTTGTTTTCACACTTGACTGTTTAACTATGAAATATAATAGAACTGAATGAATCTAGTACTGCTCCTTTGTTTCTCAAGGATGCAATTGTCTCATCCCCTCTCTTCCTTGCCATCTCTGTGTAAAGTTATGTGCCTTAAAGGCTATCCTGTGGCCGTCTTAGGGTATTCAGTTATGACACACATGTTGTTCTTTAATGTGTCACCTCTTGTTGCTGGAGCATTTCTGGGATGGAGGTTTACCAAAAAAATCTCTCTAAAGGTCAAGTTGGCGTATTTTTTCTTCAGATTTATATCCAAGGGGCTAATTCTGGCTATTGCTTAGCTTTTTAATTTTAGAGTGCAAGTGTCAAGGCGCCGCATGATTCTTCATGAAAAGCACTCTGGGCGATTTATCACTAACTGGTCCAACATAAGTCACTTCAGAAGCTACAATGTCATGCTGGCCTGATGCACCCGGGCAGACAAAGTGGAAGGAAAGCGATATTCATTAAGTTTTGGACATGGTTAATGTTGATACCAATGTTAATCTCCTGAATTATTACTCTAATCTCTTATTCTCTACCAATCACCCAGTGGCGTCCTTTTTCTCTTACTAGACATATGAAATAAAACTTGGGTCGGTTGCTCTAAAGGGAAATGTTTTTGTTAATTTTATTTTAAGGAACGCAATGCTATCAGATTTATTTGAACATTTATTTTGTTTTTTTCTGAAATGTTTTTTTTCGTTTTGTTTTATAACAGAAGCAACTACAGCCTGAAGCCCCTACAGCACCTACGGACATGGGCTACAACACCTTATCCAATTTTCACATTGAGAAGAAGATTGGAAGAGGACAGTTTAGTGAGGTCTATCGGGCCACGTACTTGATAGACAACACTCCGGTAGCATTGAAAAAAGTACAGGTAAGCTGCTGTCAAACAGTCTTACTAAACGAAAAAGTCAAAAACAACAAAATACCATGATAGATTAAAGATACAGTGAACTTCAAAAGTATTTGAACCTGGAACCTTTTTGATTTTAAATGACGCTGGAATTATAAAGGTTAGTAGGCAAACTATCAACTGCTATTTAAAATACTTTCAGGTTTTCCTTCTGTTTATATGAAAAGTATTTGTAGTAATGTAAGTTCTGAATTTGGATGTTTTAAGTATGACTATTAAGAGCAGTCTTTTATTAAGGTGATGACAGAGCAAGGGCAAAGGTGCTTATCATTCATTGGTTTACAGACATGTTCTTTGACAACCAAACTATCAAACCATTTCTCATTGGTCTTAATGAAGTATTTAAAGTTCGTATTAAATGCTTTTAGCTAGGGATGCACTGATAGTGGGAAATGTGGGCTGATGACATTATTCGATATTTTTTATGTACCTACCTGCTGATACCATTGCTAATACATAAACATTTAGAGCATCTAGAAATTGAGACTAGATCTACCTGGATTAGCATTACAGAGAAATGTAACAATTATTTGTAGAAGGTTACAAATTCAGTAAAATTATGAAAATTTTAACATTCTAGCGTTGTAACCCAGCATAACCTAAATGCTCTGCTTTTCCAGAATAAATACGTCATCAAATATGGGTTTGATATATCAGCCAAATCTAAACATCTCTCTGATTCTGATCATTTTTATGCATTAACCTGATGATACCAATATGATTGTTATATCAACATGCATCCCTGCTAGTAACTAAACTGTTAGTAGACTATTGCAGGTTTTGTGAAGATGGCCTGGAAAAGGCAGCTCAGGACTATATTTATTTGCTTGTTCGTCCGTTTGTTCGTTCATTTATAATCTCTCAGTATAAAAACGTTACTGTTTAATCATTTTAGAATGTAATACATGAATACAAATCACTCACTAAACAATCCCAGAATCTCAGCTTGAACTTGAAGATATTTATATCTTGTGGGTGCCGTGTGGCACCTGTTGTAGCCCCTCCTCATTTTTATGGGATCATAAGTAATTGGACAAACAAACAGTACAACTGTCACATTAAATCTTATTTTCAAAGCGTCTGTGGATGATGGTCATCAAACGTCTGCAACCCACAGACTTCACCCTGAGCTGGTTATCTTCCAGAATGATGCTCTGCAACCATTTTTAAGTTCTTTTAGGAGCATAAAATTATTTGAAATATTCACACAAAATGTTAATTGTGGATTTACGCAAACATCATTCAGCACTGAGAATGTTCACCACTACAGCTCATATAACGTTATATGAGAGTATAACATTTTAGAGTGTTGAGTTTTAGCATTTTGTACTTCGCCCTTGTTTTGCTTTAATACTTCAGTGACAATCCTGTGCTTTTTATTTCTGTCTGGTTTTAGAATTTGTCTACTGTTTATTTTATTTATTTAGTAGTTGATTTAAACTGAGTTTAAAGCAAATATGATTGCAGACATGACTATGCCCAAAGGCATGTTTGGTAAACTGTAAAATGCTAAACAGAAAATTAAGCTGTCAGGTCTGATGTCTGTTCAATAGGGGTGTAACGTTGGTGATTGGTGATGGTGGTGATTCAATTGTAGGGGTTTTGTAACTCATTTTATAAAGAAGCTGATTATCATAGTTTTTAGTAAACTACGCAGCCAAAATTAAAAAATGTATGCTATTTTCTAGGGCTGGTCCAAATACTCTATATTCTGTATTTAGTGTTCTAAAGCTTTGGCTTATTTTCAAGCTACAAAAAATTGCAGCCAGAAACAAGTTTTTTTTTCAGCAAAGGCCTTTAGATACACCAATTATACATGGTTAATATTTAATATTAAATAATAAAGTCATTCATGCTAAGCATCCACGCTATCTTGCCTGTGAGTTCAGCCAACTGCTCTACTGTCCACCTAGCCGTTGAAGCTAAAAGAGCAAAAATGCTTCAGAAAGAAATGTGTGACTTTAAATTATTAACCAACAAAAAAAAATTGTTACTTCAAACTATACAATAAGAGATTGCTGTACCATGGAGTCATGACAAGTTTGATGAATCATCTCAAATATGCAAGGTAAGCGATGCTTACCTCAGTACCACTAGTCACTGGTGCTAAAACCAGGGAGCTCAGAACCTCAAACCTGTTTGTTTTGGTGACTTCTGGCAGTGGAGGAGGAAGGGAAACACAGTCATGGCTTCTTCCAGGAAGAGGAGTGTGGCATGGAGGTAAAGTGCACTCTAGCCAGCGACCCTCTAGGCCGCAGACTAAGAGCCAGGCTCAGTGGTCCCATTGGCTTATGTTTCCTCTGAGCTCAAGCTCGGTAGCAGGTCCATGAGGACAGACTGCATCAGCTGGGTAACTGCTGACCTGCTTCTAGGGTGGTTCTCCTCATGTTCAGGCGGGTCTTTAGATTAAAAAGCTGCTCAGTCCTCCCCTCTGTTCTCTGTAGCTCGATTATAACTGAGCTCATCTGGCTCTACTCTTTGCCCTTTACTGCAGCTTTCCTTTATTAAAAAACAGCGAACTAACCAAATAAAATAACTCTATGAAATAAAACAAAAAATAACAGCAACTTATTACAACAAACTAAAACTGTGATGGTGATAAATAAAATGCTAATTTTAATTCGATACACCCTCTCATAACTCACAACTCATAAAAGCTGTATTTGAGCGAGAGGGCTACAATACATTGTTGCCGCCTTATATTTTGAACTGCAATATAGTACATACTTATGATTGTGGTTAAGTATGAAACACAAATATTATTGTTTTTAATAGGTGTTTTTGAGGACAAGTATTTGTCTCATTCAATACTAACAAATATTCTAAGCCTATAAAATGTTGTTTGGGCCAGCCCTACTATTTTCAGATGTAAAATTAAAAAGAATTACTTTGTGTATTTATGTAATTTATTGTGTAAATTGCTAATGTGTAAATTGTTCCTGCAATCACATTTGTGTGTTCAGTGTATTGTGAATATAAATCATACCAAAATATCTCAAAATTTTTAGATAACACATAATTCCTAAAGAATCATAATCGTACTGAAAAGGTCAGAGATTTACACCCCTAGTATTCACTGTACATTACAGGTCTTTTTTTTATTGTTGAAATTGTACATAATTGTATAAAATTAGGCCAACAGACAGCAGTTTTTGGAGTGCTTTCCTCACTTCCAGTCACTGCTGTAAATGAAACATTCTGACTGTGGTGAGACGGCTGTTGTGTTTGGCCCAAGCAGGTGTTTGGGTGGTCAGGTTGGGCTGTCCCTCTGCTTGCCTTGAGGCAGTGTGGCATTGGCTTAGTACCACCTTCCCTACCTGCCACACAAGCCTGTACCACATGGCCACTTTCTTTTTCTTTTTTCTTTTCTTTATTTTCTCTTCTCTGTGTCATAACTCCCTCTTTCCGTCTCTCTCTCGTCTTCCCTTTTGATCTCTTGATAGATATTCGATTTGATGGATGCCAAAGCTCGGCAAGATTGCATCAAAGAGATAGATCTCCTGAAGGTAAGAAACAAGAGGAGGGAGAGAGTGGAGCCATGTGCCGCTATTACGCTTTCTAAAGGTGCCTCTGCCGAGACCTAATACCAGAGAAAAAGACAGAGATAGAGGCAGAGAAAACAATTGATCTGTACCAGACGCACTGCTTTCCCTCTCTCTCTCTTGCTTGCGCTCGCTCTCCCTCCCTCTCTCTCCCTGTGTAAGGCAAGCACAGATCACGGGCTCCTTCGTGTCATTCCTCCAGGCTGAGATTGACTCTTTTTTTTTTTTATGCCAAAACTATAGTTTTTATCTTGTTCTGTAATATTTAGCATTGAGGGGGGATGAGTGGGGGGCATGAGAGCAACAGCGTGGAAATTTAGCTCCCTCACATTGACTCCCTCATGTGTCTTTTGATGTTGCACGTCCTCTGCCTCATAACATTCTCCCTTTTTTTTTTTAAATGTATCGTTTGCGTTCATCAAAACGCCTTAAACAGGCTGTGGCCCATACTAGCATGAGCGCTAACTAACAAATTAATGACAGGTCCAATAAAAAGGAGCGTCTGGGTGATCAGAGGTGTCTCACTGAACTCTGCTCTGTTTTTTCTTGCTAGCTCTCATCAGATCAGCTTCCATGTGTGCACGCACATACTCCCATGTTGTCATGTTAATTGCTTCAACTCAGATCTCTGTGTTTATTCCTTACGAGTTTTCATGATTGTCCAGAATTGTGCCTGCTTATTTTCTATCTCTCTCTGATAGAGACTCTTTTTAGACTAGGTAACTGGTGGCCGGTGTTGGGTGGTAAGGGAATACACTACCAAATACATTACCAGACTAACAGTTTTTGTTATTTTAAATACAGTAATAACATACATGATTTGGATTTAATTAAAACTGTTTGTCAAAGCATATTTTAGATGTGTCATTATATATTTCAAGGATTCTCTGAGAAAAAATGAATAAAATTATGCATTTTTATACTGTAATTATCTGTTTACATTACTGATGCAATTTTTGGCAATAAAATATACCCTACATTTAAACCGAGGGTCTGACAACTGTAATATGTTTTATGGTTTATGTGAGCAAAAACTAAAAAGTTGATTTAATGGCTGGAGTGTATAATGATGGGCTTCTGAAAATTCTATATTCTCAAGTTCAAAAGTTATTTTAAAACAAACATAAATGCCATGACCAGAGCAGCTTTGGCTCAGTGTACCTCAGTAGCTCTCAAAAGCTGTTACCGTCTCTCACGTACAAAGATAAAATGGTGGTCTTACTGCTCGCAGATGTTTGCATTCAATGTGATACATCGTTGTAGTTCCTCTCAAAAAGTGGCCCTGAACACTATTTTAGCACTGTGTGATTGATTTTTCAGTAAGCCTACCAACTGCTTGTTGCTTATTGCTTCCTCATGCATGCAATTCAAGGTACGTTCTGCGTCATGACCAGTAACAATAAACTACATGTAGTTTTAGGAGGAAGAAGGAGGGCAGAGAAGATACCAGGAGCATTATCTTCAGATTTCAGACCTGGAGATCAAGTTGGCGGCATTAGGCAAATTGATAGGGAGTAACAACCTTAATTTTAAAGACACATGAATAGGAAGTTAGATCAGAAGCAGTCCAGAAGAAATTGGATTAGATTAGACTTGTTAAGTAATCTAAGTGATTACATTACTGATGATCTTGTAGTGATGTAATTTGTAAGTAATACCAGATTATAGTTCTGAAGTAGTCTGCCCAAAACTATTGGTGACCATGTTTTGTTTCCTATTTTTTTTCTTTTTCAGGATAGATGACTGATGAAATAGATGATAGATGAAATGGCTCCTGGTGTGGGCGCACAGTTCTAGGAAAAACCTTTAATTGAAATAGAACCTTTACATAATCTCTTCATATACTTTCAAAGAGTTCTTCACACTCACACGTCTCGTTTGTGAGATTCTTTGAAGAACAGTTAGTTAATTTGGCCTGTCACAGTTCATACATAATCTCTGAATTGCAGTTACTCAAGTTGATTGCAGTTGTTTAAGATGACCACAATAATTGTCAACAGTTGTTAGCTTTCATAATCATATGTTGACATCGCAATAAACACCGTGGTAATTGGATATGATTTCATTAGTTGAGTTGAGGCTGAAACATGGTAAATACAATAAAGCTGAAAATGCATTTATTGAGATGCGTAATGGGTCGGAAACAATGAATGTTCTAGCAGATCTGACTGATGCTGTCATGCATTTAAGAGCAGGTTTGAGTAATGTTTGTTTATTTGAGTTCAAGCTGTATCTTCAGTTGGGAGCTGTTTCTTCTATGGCATCGCTCCAGCACTGTTTTTGACACCTAGGTAGGAAGAACTTAGAAGAAATTGCAGACCTCCACTAGCAAGAAGAGGATAGTGGGGGGATGAAAAGGTCATGATGTGGGAAGAGCGCTCAGTCATACCTCCTGGTGATGCTTTGCCAGGCGAGCGCTCGCCCTTCACTGGAGTCAGAGGGGACAGAGAAACTGACCTTGTCTCCAGTGTCCCCACCTTTTACCCCCCTTCGTCCACTCCTTTCTTCTCTATAAGCTCTTTTCTGCTAATGAATGCGGTCATTATGACCAGTCACCTCCAACAGCTAATAAGACATTTGTGTAAAACAGGGAACCATGTCTTCTACTTCAGCGGACAGAACAAGCGAACAGAGGAAAAAAACAAAAGGAAGAGAGAGTCGCAAATCAAAATAATGAGCAAGACTGGCAGTACCTGAACTGGCGGAGCCCCCTCCCTCAGTCTGTCTGTCTGTTTATTTATCTGTCATTTTCCCTCACATACTGTAACCAACACTGTGCTATTATGGGGGGAGGACGCTTTTACTTTGACGCTTTTTTCTTCCTTCCTGATGCTGCTTAAAATGTTTACACGAAGCAAATCCTGTTAATTTTTTTTGTGCATCCTGTTTTAAAGATATTATTCTGTCCCAAAGATATTAATCTCTATCTCTTTTGTGTTATAGATTTGATGCCTTAATCAGTATTGTGTGTTCATTTTGCAAGATTGAACTGTGTTAGCAATTTAGCTTATGAAGCTTGTGGGAAATGTTAAGAGCTCTATTAGCATGATATAACTGCATCACCTTAATCTGCCTAGTCATAAACAGAAGGTTTACTGCATATCGTTCAGAATGTAAGATGAAGGCAAAATTACAGCGCTCAGCGTGATTAAAGCAAACGCGGTGCTCCAATTTGCGCGTGTTGTCGCGTTTCATGTTCACCACGTTTCGGCACTGCAGCTCAGGGTCGGGAAGGGGAAGAGGAGTGAGGATGACACCGCCGACTGCTCAAACTGCGGCTGTGTGATCCAAAAATACATCTAAGGAAAAGGCGCGGGATGGCGATGGAAACGTACGCGCGCGTCCTCCACTATATCAGCTCGGAGCATGAACATTTCTTTAATAACCCCCTCTGCCGTGTCACAGCACATCGCCCGGCCCCGGCTCGCTCTCCCTCGCTGATGGCCCCAGAAGGGGGGGTGTATAGCTGTTCTCCTCTCTTGCTTCCCATTCATACACTTATTTATGTGTTTTTATTTATTTATTTATTTTATTTATTTATTTTTTGCCTCCTGTCTGTCGCTGTCGTCTTCACTGTTGTTTACCATGTCGGATGCTTCCACTTATTGACCAACCAATGGGAAAAAGAAAGCGAAAAAGAGAGGTGGAAGGGGAGAAAAAAAGGCGAGGGTGAGCGGAGGAGGGAGATTATGCTACGCACTGCTGCTGCCTGGCCCGTCATGTTAGCATCAGCCAGGGATTGTTTGTTTATTTATTTAGTTATTTTTTTTATTTAATTATTTGAAATGCCACATGGCTCAGTACACTGTCGCGGGCTAAGGCAAGACACTCTCCCTCCGAAATAAACCTCCCTCTCCTCTCCTCTGCTCTCCTCCTAGCCCTCCCTCCTTTCTCCCTCCCTGCCTGGCTTAGTTAGCTGGAGTGAAACACTCCTGCATTTTACATGAGCAACTGTTTATGTCGTTTTCGTTTTTCCTCTCGTTTCGGTGCCATCCCCACAATGGGTTTTGTTGTAAATGAATTCCATTTGAGCCTTTTTGGCTTTGAAGGTGTCCTGGGTGAATCGGACACTAGCCTAGATGACAGTGGCATGTTTACTTCTGAACCAGCATCTGCCTTTTTGTTTCTGCTGTCTTGACTTTTGAAAGCATTGTTTGACTCATGAAATCTGTTTAATATTTAACAGTCACTGATACTTTGCTCTCTCTCCCCTCTCTTCCACAGCAATTGAACCACCCCAACGTAATTAAATATCACGCATCATTCATTGAAGACAATGAGCTAAATATAGTACTGGAACTTGCAGACGCTGGGGACCTCTCACGTATGATAAAGGTATGGGCGCCTGGCGTTGTGTCAGCAGATTCTCTGCGTGCTCATTTTCTGCATTGGGGCTGCTGCAGAGTGGAATGAATGAGCATAGTTGATGACTCAAAATGCTCAGCAAAAAATGTAAATTATTGTAGATGTGTATATGTGTGTGTAATGTACTGTACCCCTGTACCACTTATCTTGGCACTTATCTGTACCACTAAGTGTGCTTTTACTAGAACAATTTCTTGTTTTCAAAGAAGCAGTTGATGTCTTGTGAGCTAGTTTAACAAAGTTTTGTTCTATGTTTCTTATGGATGCCAGCTGTCACTAGGATTTGATAAACTCCATCACCAGCCCACCTGATTTAACATAATGGAGTATCGATTAGCCACACCCAGGTATTGGATGACAGCTACAAATAATGGGCTTCCTCAAGGAGTGGTTTGGAAATAAATCGACAAGAACTTAAACATACATAAAATCTTATTTAAGGTGTTATTATTTGTATTTGTTCTAATATTAGTGCTACTCTGAACAAATAAATGAAAAGCTATTTATCTGGACAGTTATTTAATCTAATTTTCTCAACGTTTGCACAGTATTGTGTATGTGTGTGTGTGTGGGGGCATGTCGTTCTCTCTATATATTGAGAGAGAGAGAGAGTAAATGTAAATATGTGTAGATATATAAGTAAGATAGAATAAGTAAGATACTTCTGCTTGTGGTATTAGGGGCTTGAGATGAAACCTATGTCCAATGTAAAATCTCAAATGTCTCTGAGTACCATGGACATATCTCATAAGCAAAAATCTGAACTGTCGAATCTTTGACATAATTGAAATTCCACCGACTCCCTCATTTCACATTTGCCCCAGACTAAGCCTAAACCTAGATTAAATGTGGTTAAGCCTGATCTTGGATTAAACTGAGATACCAAAGGTGTTGCACCGTTAAAAACCCCATTTAATCTGGGCTAAATCTGGGTCTGGGAAACATTGTTTTATCTTGCCATTCACTTTGATTCAATACTCATACATGACTGGCACATTTTTCTTGTAAAAGGATTAAGAATAGTGATCGCATTTGACACAGTGTTCTTCCAGTCTTCTAACTTAACTTTTAATGCAGAATTTTTTTTTAATGTGCTCTGCTTATCTGCAAGTATATCCTTCATTGTCCTCATTCACATCAGTTTTCTGTGTGCAGTCTATTTTCCCTCAGCATTTCTTCCATTCCTGACAACCGTACAACTCAGCACTTCCAACCTGATGCTTCCAAATGAATGGCGTGCATGTAAAAGGCGCCCTTCCCCAAATCTCATCCTTCTTTAACAATGTGGAGTGCAAACAAGCTCTCGGGGCAAGGCTTTACTCAGTTGTATCTGAGAGATAGGAGCTGGTAAATGAGGACATGGAGGATTAGTTTTACGAGGGCTTCAGCCTGGCAGCCTTTAAGAGGCATCATAACATACCGATGCTTTCAGTCGGATATTAAGGCCCCGTCAGCTCACGTGTGCGGTTCCCTCAACGGTCTCTCATGCTTACTCCTCACCTCTCTCCACCTGTTCACATTCGCGCATCATTCCGCACTCCTTTAATTAGTATTATTTATTTATTAAATAATGTCACTCCAAACGTGCACATCAGGGTTAATCCCCTCCGCACTGTGAAATAAATATGACCGAACAGCGTGCCATATGTAAAACAGAAGCTCCAAATGCATGAATTTACCATTTTTTATTCTTTTTGATTTTTTTTCACTTCCTCTTTCCCCTCTTTCTCTGTCCATCTCAGGATTCAAATGAAATCAAATGGCCTCTTCATTTGCATGCACTTACAGAATATTGCATGTGCCGTGTTTGCTTTTTAAAGGCACGGAGGGGGCTGCTGCGCTCCCCCATTGACATCAAACGGCCTTCTGATATGCAAATAGAAGGGCTGGGGAAGAATAGATCCACCGGCTTTGTTTGGATGTGGGCCAAGGTTTCCTGGGCTTGAGACTGCATGCTCACAGCCGCTCCAATCATTTCAATGAAAGGGAGGGGGTTAAAACAGGCAAAGTGAGCATTTGCACAATGGAATAATAAATCGGCCTTAAATAACCTGCACAACTACATATATATATATTTTTTTTCCACCACATTTACCTGTGCTGACAAGCAGGATCACCTCATTGCTGGTGACTCAATTATTTAGTCAGTGCACAAAAGGTCAGATAATTACTGTTGTTTTGGTTAAGTAAGCTTCATTTTGTCTTAATTGTGTAACATTGAATTAATTGGAACTTTGAAGCTGGGTTCATGACCACTCATGCACCTCCTCTGCATGCTGAGAGCATTGGTGCTAAAAGCACAGTGACTTTCCATAACGCTGCGGTAATGACACTGTCAAAAGGCCTGCAATACTTTCAGTCACATGAAAGTCCAGAATATTGGTAAGTTTCATGTTTAGCTAACCTCCTGAAGCAGCTTTTGGTCCAGTTTAGTTTTCAGTGGTAATAAAGTGTAGTTATGCTCTGCTTTGAAAAAGATATTTACATACATTATGCTTAAGTAAAGTTTTCATTAGCATGGATGTTGTCCCCTAATTAAGTTCCTAATTGTAGCACTACATGGTGTTTAAGAGGTGAAAACAGGTCAAGTGAGGCCAAGAGGTTGTTCAGAGGTGAATTAAGTGGTCAAACCTTCATTGTGCAGATACACATACTCAGATTAGTAGAGTTGTGGTCCATTACAAGGCACACACAGAGGTGTCCCATCTAGGAAGAGTCGAGAGGAGATGATGTGATGAGTGAGAAGTTGTCTGTTTGATAAGTTACCCTTAGCTGAACTCTTACTAACATGTGCCTCCCTTCTCAGTATGATCATTTCAATGCAGACAGCATGATACTAAACACATTTTTCAAACTGTCTGAGCTACTGATGCACCGAAATAAAAATTTTTGGGTGAAATTTCTGCCACAGAATTCAACATCCTTAAAAACAGGTACAGTTCCAGCAGTTTAGTTGTGTGCAAAGGTTTGGGTGCCCTTAGTCAAGTTACGTTGAACTTTCTACAAAGAACACTTCTGCACATTTTAATGAACAATTATTGTTTATTTGCAGCTCCAAACATATTGGAAAAAACATACATGGCATGTTTTATCATATTAACAGTAGATGAAGATTTTTGGTTTTGTTCCCTGTAGAGGATGTGTTAACTTCATTTTACTCAGTTTTACTCAATTGTTGAAAACCAGCAAATTGTGTCATTTAACCTGGGGGTGTTCAAAGTTTTGTATGCGACTATATACTTTGCACTTTGACAGTGTTTGTAAATGTTTTTTGTCCTTTCAAAAACTTTTGCACATAACATAATGCTTATAGGGACTTTCCTGTTCGCTGCTGTTGTTTGGTGTATCTGCATATGCCATATTTTCAAACCTGTAATGGAGAAGTCTTTTTTGGCATTGTTCCTTTTCCATGATTAAGTGATGTTCTCTCAAGAAACATTGTGTAAATGCTCAAGCTCAAGTGGTTCAGTTCATGAGGAATCTCCATTGACTGTCTGTGGTCATGTTGGCCTCAGGCCTTTATGTCCAGCCTTGTTCAGGGAGAGCTCGTCTTGCATTGAGGGTTGTGTTCTTCTTTCTGCAGCATTTCAAGAAACAGAGGAGGCTGATCCCTGAAAAGACTGTATGGAAGTATTTTGTTCAGCTCTGTAGTGCACTGGAGCACATGCACTCCCGACGCGTCATGCACAGAGGTACACGCATACACTCAGATGTTTCTGTACCATTTGAGCTGCATACTTGCTAGTATCATTTGAACTGTGTACCTGCTTGGCCAAATAGATGTTTTTGCTCCCCTTAAAACGTTTGGTGACGTAAATGTTCTTTCTAATATTTTGTTGTTTATGCTTGTTTATTCCCCCTGTGCCAATAAAACTTTGTCCTTTTTTGTTTTGTTTTTCTATTATGCCAGCAGTCCTTGTTTTATATATATATATATATATATATATATATATATATATATATATATATAAAATTTTGTAAACTAATAGAAATGGCTCAAAATTAGAATAATTAGAATAAAATGTCACTACATTAGATAATACAATACAGTTCTTCAGCACTGCAGCACAACTGGAAACCACCTCCCCTCCACAAGCAGAACGCTGTACAGACACTGGCCTCTGCTCTGTCATTCGCCACCCCTGTATACAGCCATTTCACACCTGAGCCATTCAATTCACATCTGATTCTCCAGATCGCACCTTGGCTTCTAAACATATTTCAGTGTGTTTGTTATTGCTGGGAAGGCCTCATGTCCTCAGGTGCTAAACTTGAAACAGTGTGGTGTGTCTCAAAGCACATGGTTCCTATAACGTCACACACACACATACACACACTCTGCCCTTAAAATGTCTAACGCTGGTCCCCCCAGTCTCTTAAAGGTGATTTATATCTTGTCCTTTCCTGGATTTAGGGATGTTTCCTTTGGTTCTGTGTAGTCCATGCAGTTCTGTTTTGAGTGTTTTATAGAGCATAGGTAGTTTTCCACCTACTTTCTGTCTCACTTTATTTCTGTATGTTTCCCTCCCCTCACTCATGTACAGTGTGTGTCAGTCTGATAAGTTACTCCATCTCTCTCTCATTTCTTTTTAAAGACATAAAACCAGCCAATGTGTTCATCACAGCCACTGGAGTGGTGAAACTGGGTGACCTGGGTTTGGGACGTTTCTTCAGCTCCAAAACCACTGCTGCACACTCTCTAGGTAAACCTCTTTCATCTTCATCTCTCTCTGTCTCGCTCTCTGTCTCTCTCTCTCTCTCTCTCTCTCTCTCTCTCTCTCTCTGTGCAAAAAGAGAGAGAGACAGAGTACGGCAGTAAGGCCCTTTAATCACTGGAGGAGCTGGATGTGTTTCATTAGGCCTTGCTGCGAGCAGAACCATGTGTCCGTTATAAAGCAGTACTTTCCGCCAGCCCCCGCGGCCAGTTGGGAGCAAAGCGTGGCAGGCTGTGTATCCATTTCATTGAGCAGTTAGGGCTTTCCTGTTGCCTTGACCCTGCGACCCTTCTCCTCACACATAATTTCTACATAGAGACAGCAGCCAGGCTACGACTCTAAATTAAAGAAAGAGAAAATTTGACTGGTGGTGTCGAGGACTCTTATCTAGTACACCCCATCTTGTCTAGTTGCATCTGCCCAGGAATGATACACTCATGGCAGATGAAGACGTCATAGTCGCCTCCTCTTGTTAAGAGGCCGACTCAGGAGGTGCTGGCCTGGACGGGTGCTTTTGACACTTTTTAGTGCACTGTTTATTCAGCGTTACATGTAATTTGGAGAAACATCAGCAGTTTACTCAGTGTTTTGCTTACTTCATGAATAATACAATCCTTTTGTGGAAACTGTTCGCAATGGAAATCAATCCCAAAATGACTGTTTCAGCGGTATGTCCTCCCAGTGTTACTATTGGTCATTCAGAACTAAATTTTAGCTCAGCCTGTCCCCTTCGCTTTATCATGTAGCATAGTCTTATGGTGGAGAAGTTACATTGCAAGGTCAGCTCACTTCATTCATTTCTGTTGTTTTTCTACCCAAACCTTACTATAAAAATGATTGAATATCTGTTTTTGTATGGGAAAGGAATTGAGCCTTATTTCTTGTGGCTCCACCGAATGTGCTTGTTTTTTCGAATTCAGCACAGCTCACAACAAAAACCAGACTCAGAAAATGCGTATGACAGATGTGACAAAAAAGCTGAGTCCACAGCACCCTCTACAGGTCAGCTTAGTGAAGTCCATCCTCAGTCAGACCCCAGTTAGGAAGTAAGACCTTATTCGGGACTTGATAATAGTGTCTGAATGATGCCTGAGTCACCAGAGGACCACCATGTAGGGGGAAACGTTGTGCTCCATTTACACGTACTTTTGGCAGTGTTGTCCTGCCAGATCTCCTACAGACGGCCATGTTCTGGTGTCGTAACCAGGTTTCTTTTAAGACTTGCAAATTGTGCCTCAGATGTGCTTGGTGTGCTTAAGTATTGACAGATGAAATAATTCACACACAGCTTAAAGGTAAGCCTTGAGGGGTGTTTTTCACATGCAGTTAAAAAGTGTGTGTGTGTGTGTGTGTGTGTGTGTGTGTTAAGGATGTGCAGTATTTGCTTTGTTATCATTATCCCAATACTAGCCTTTGCAATTGTGATTTGACAACACTTGCAGTGTGTAAATAAGCCCTCAAACAAATCACCAAATGTAGTTTAGGGTACTGTGATCACCCTGAGTAGGGCTGCTATTACGAATTATATTAGTAATTCAGTAATCTACAAATTTTTTTGACAGTGAAAAAAAGGAATCAGTGTTTTCATTTAAGATGTAACTGAACAATAACAAACAATGCATTCAGCCTTCAAACTGCAAACCCTATAATTTCCAATTCAAAGAGAAGGTAAATTTTAAGTAATTCATGATTCAAGTAATCATGGCAGAATCACGACACCAATCCACACACACATGGTACGTGAGTTTCTGTGTTTGGATGAATTAAGACTTTTACAGGACAGTGCAAGACCCTGCATCTTTAATTTAATTACCAGTCAAAAAAACTGAAGATATTCATTTTTGAAGAGACATTTCTGAGGAGATAAAAGATAACCCACTCGTGTAAGCAAAGTCAAAGGAAAATAACTGAGTTTCTAAAACTAAAGTTCAAAAATGATCAAAAGATACAGACGTGTTTGGGATTACTTGGATTGTGAGAGGGCGAAAATGCAACCAGCCTCTAAGACTTAACTTTGGAGGTGTGGAAAAATATTTCTAGAGATTTCTTTGAAATACTGAAAGCAAGTCAACCAAAAAGAATGGGAACTCAAAAAAATTTCTTTAAAATAAAATGAAACTTGCACTTAATCACTGTTTTGACTGGGAATTGAATAAATGACAGATGGCCTCTAACGTTTGCAGTGTTGTATGTCATCCAGCACACATCAATACTTTTGATCAAAATAAGGCATTCCAGTTTTTGAGCATGTCACACTATTGATACACCATTGTGATCTAAAATTGCCAGAAATATAACAATCATAATATACAGTAGTAAAGTTGCAATATGGTATTTCATCTGTATCATGCAGACCTGCTGAGTGTGTGATCACGTCATAGAACTCTCCTGCTGTTGCAAGTCGTGCTGGGTTCTCTGTGCACAGGCTGAGCTAAAGTGGAGTATGAAATTCATGAGTGTCTCCTGGCAGGTTAAATTCACCCAGGGGCATGGAGACCTAGGTCTATGTCTCCCTCTGGGTGGGTACACTAAAGTCCCCCTGCTCCAGCTCTGTCTCTCTTGCTCTCTCTCTCTCTCTCTCTCTCTCTCTCTCTGTGTGTGTGTGTGTGTCTCTCTCGCCCCTCGTTCCCTCTCCCTGGCTGCATGGGGGTGGTGGTTATAGGCGGGGAGGGTGCTGGAGGAGGGATTGTGGCTTGACAGTTTGGGCTGTAATGAGACAAACCACCGTGGTAGAACACTGCGATGCGCACTGGATGGAGGTCCAGGAAGCGCCGCTCCGTGCCTGTCAATTCTTCCCCTCAGAAGCTGAGCCGTAGCCTTTTAACTCTGTCTCTGAGTGGCTCTGCAGCCCACAGATACAAACAAAGCCAAAGAGGGGGAGTGAAAGATAGAGAGTGAAAAAAAATCACTCTTTTCTTTGCACTTCCTGCCAGAGGCTTCTTCCCCTTTAAATTAAAGGGGGGTGGGGGTGTGCGTTAGTGGGTGTGGAGGGGACAGCAGCGCAAAGGAAAATTTTGGGGTAGGGGGATAACGTTGAAAGAGGTGGAAAAAAACATGGAGGGGTTTAGAGTTTACTTATTTTGCAATTAACAGTGGAATCAAGTCACATTAATTACATTTTAGCTCCTCATTCAGTGCCACATTGTCTACATTAGAGTGCTCTTCTGATTCTGTGTAAAGGTGCACAATTAAAATAGGGGCGTCTGTTTACTTAATTTTTTAAATCAATCAGGATAATAAATTTCCTTATAATTGTTGTATTGTTGAGAGCCAGTGGTAATTGGGTTTTGAGCATCCGCCCCCTCAGAAAACTATTTCACTCACTTCACAGAGAATGCATCCTAATGTCATAACAATTCATAATAATGGAAATCAATCCCAACACGACTTTCTGTTTATTTGCATGAATAAGTGATGTGCTCTTAATTTGGTATGCTGCTGGAATGCTCTCGCTGTAGCATCTGGCTTTTATGAAACTATTAGCATAAGAGAAGATGATTTTTAATCATCTAACAATGGTTGTTGAGGGACGCTGTTCAAACAGCGCTGGGAGACCCGAGCGTAAGCAGAAGCGCAAGTGTTAGCACCCGTTAAAAGATCTCGGTAGTTATTCAGTCAATAAAGAGATTAATTGCTGGTTTTTGGAATTATAGATCAGCCATTATTATGCAGGAACCTTAAGGACATAACATAGATCTGTGTGCTTGACTTACTAAATTAATAAAAATCAGCAGTGCAGTGCCGCCTAATTGCAGTGGTGATTGCATAAACACTTTCAGATCATCATTTCTGTGATTATCTTCTTTTCTTATGTCACTTAAAAAAAAAGAAAAAGGGCAGCAGTTGTGGACAGCAGGTTTGATTTGTACAAATTGCGTCATAGGACGCAGCAGTGAGATGGAGGAGGCGCTTCCCTGTGCTTTTGTCAGTGATATCCGCAGCTCTGCTACCTGCCTTCGCGTCCTGATGCCGTTTGGTGTTGAAGTGTTTGTCTGGCTTTTGTTCTCGCCACTTGAGACCTCCTTGCGCTCTGTCAGATCTGAGGTGTTTGTGCCAGGGCTAAACTTTTGTAAGCTGCAAGCATTTGTCAGAACGTTTCCCTTTCTCGTTTCCCCCTTCGTGACTCGCCCTCCCTCCATCATCAATCTTTCACGCTTGTTGGCCCGTTCGTTGCTGTGATGATGCAACGAGGAACTTGTGGCTGGCTCCAGAGAGAGCAGTGTGGGGAGTTTGAATGGCCTCCTGGGTCCAGCTCTTCTGCCTGATGGCTATTAGTCACTGCCAATTAGCTGCTTTCCTGCGCACGGCCGTGGACCAGGAAAGCCGCCGCTGCTTGGCCTTCACAATGTTGTGCCACGCACAATGTCTCATGGTATTACAGCATTCAGCATTCACTATAAAAGATTTTCACATAGCCACAACAGCATGACTTGGTTTTGATCTTCACTTGAGAATGCGAGATCAATTTTTGAATCAAGGTCTTGGTAATACGTGTATTACAGAGAATCACTAGCAATAAAATGCAAACATAATGTGTTCCTCTTGACAGCAATGGTATCACTAAATAAGCGTTTTTTTTGTCCTACTACTTACCCAGTATTAACTTCTATTTTTTTTTTTTTAAATGGAACAGATTGTGTATCTTCATAGATTTCAAGCTTTTTTCTCCTTCATGCCATGGCAGATATTGCGATCTCTCTGTATAGTTTTTTTTTTTGGAGTCATTTTTTTTTTCCCTCCCCACAAAAACCAATTGAGAGGTTATAGACTGAGAGCTGAAGTGTAGACTATGTTTAGGCTGTGTTAGCCACAGGGTAAACTGTGACTATGCTGTGGCTTGGGTAAGCAGGGAGCAGTGGCCCACAAGCTGACTTCCTCCTTCCTGTGGAAGCGAAGCAGAACTACAGGCCGGGGCAGACCCTCCGAGGGATGAGTTTTTTGACACAGCTGCTGTGGGTTTTTTGGTTTAATCAGGTAGAGAAGCTCATATAAATACGGTCTGAAAAAGAGAGCTAAATAAAGGTTTGTTTATCTGCTTGCATGTGATCGTGTTTTTTTTTTTTGGTGATGGATGGGGAAAAACAAACTTTACACATCACCTTACATGTGTTGACCCAACTCCCCCAATTCCTTCATTTCCCTAAGAAATATACATGGGCATACCTTCATTCAACCACCTGCTTGTACACCAAGGATGCAAATTTGGGCACATTGTTTTTTAAAATGACTGATCTGTTTTAAAATGGCCTTCCACAATTACTACATAACAATCTAATTGCAATTATTTGATTAGAGATGCATCAATACCGTTTTTTTTTTCAGACCGAGTACAAGTACATATTTTTTTTAGTACTCGCCAATATCAAGTCCAATACAATAATGAATTACCTACTTAGAATTAAGTAGTTGTTAGTGTAAATGAGTGCAATGCAACTTTAAATCATGCACAATTAAATCATTAAAACAAATTAAACAAATTGAAACAGATTTCAAATGGCATGCATTAGCTAGCTATGTTGCATTAATTCCCTTAAAACAAGTAGTACTGCAGTGGAGAAGAAGCAGCGCTTCTGTACTGCTGTAAGTAAAGTATGTCTCATAGTTTTGTTCTCATGCTCCTCATTGATCTCATGTTACAACAGTGCCTGTGTCACGGTGAGAACTGGAATCACATCCGAGGCTAATGCATCCGAGGAGCTCGCTTCTGGAGTTTTATGTCTTGCTGTGTTTTGACTGGTTGATTGAGCTGCAGTTAAATGTCCTCTAGAGCCAGACAGTATTGTCTTTGGTGGCTCATACTGGACATTTGAGTAAACCGTCGTGTCCCAACAAAGCCCATATTTTATATGCTCACACCTGTATGAAAACACTTGGTCCAATTAACATTATATGTGAAATGCAGCCCCTACAGACAGCTCTGTCTATGGACAGTTTCCAATAAAACAGTTTCATTCAGAATAACACGTTGCGCACCAAGTACTCTGCAAACACACTGAGAAACTGCGCTACAGCAGCTTGACTGTGCACTGAAATGTAAACAGTAGGACAATACAGTCTCTATATAGCATATTTTACAAAGACAGTTAAAAAAAATCAATGTGTTAACATTTATACCCTGTGATTGTATTCAGTCAGAGTAAAGTCGGCATATATGGACTTTGGTAACAAACGTTGACTTGTTTGCCTCTGTTTAGCTAGCTTACTAGTGTCCACCTGTATTTGGGAGGTGGTTGTAACTGCGTTTGAGTGTGTTTCAAAATGGGCAGTGTATTCCTGGCGGGTATATGTTAAGAGTGATGTAAAGTGACCAGCGTTTGTGTGTCTGACCTCCACGCTATCAGCACGCTTCACAGTGAGAGCAGACCCTTGTTCATAGCCAGCTTGAGTCATTTGTTCATTAATTATTAAAATTGGCTCAGGATTCCACTGTTAAAAACCATTATGACTGGCTCTTTATGTATAAACAATGCACACATTTAATATCGATCATATATTCCAAGCCTATGTTTCTGCCTTAGACACTGCTGAATGAAAATGGCTGCCTACCAAGATATCAGCTAAACAGAACGTTTGAACTTTTTCCCTCTTACTTTTAGAACTTGATAATGTTCTACAGCAAAACTTGCTATCAGTCGCTTGGAACTACTTTCATGCTCCAAATAATTTTTCACTTGCCGATTTTGAGTCACTATCAGTTAACTGGATTTAATGAACACACCCTTTCCTCTCCATTCTTCCCTGCCCTAAGTTTGTTTCTGTCACTCCTCACTGTATGCATGCATCGTTGACTCAGGATCTCTTTTAGCTCTGAGCAGCCTCTATCTGCTCTCTAGTCATCCGAGGCTGCTGCTGCTGCTTCTTCTCCTCAGTCTGAAACCCCCGTCAATGAAGCATCCATGGGTGAACCTCTCACCTCCACAACGCCTCACTTAGCAAACCAGACATGCCTTTAACTTCTGTTTTTTTTTCTCTCTCTCTTTTCCCCTTTTTCTGATCCAGTGGGCACCCCTTATTACATGTCTCCCGAGAGGATACACGAAAACGGATATAACTTCAAATCTGACATCTGGTCGCTAGGCTGTCTGCTCTACGAGGTAATGTATAGAAAACCATTCCACCACCAACACCAACTCTCTCCTGAACCCTTCCCAAACCCCCACTGATGCTTCTCTGAGACGCAGCGCTACACTCCTTTCCTGATCCTCTGAGCCGGACCGCGCCGTCTGTCGTGAAAATTGCAGTGTGGTTTTGTACTTTATGAGGTAAACGTCCCTGCATAGGAAACCTGGAGTGTGTTTCAAAGTTGGCAGAGAAATCTCAATGACATTTACATGTGTTTTAGATAAGACGCATAGCTTACTTTCTCTGAAATGATACTGCCTGAATAACGTACACCACATTATTGGACACACAGTGAAGTAAACCCTTTGGCTCCAGGGACGGAGTTTTTGCTTAGCACTCAGCACAGACTGATGTAGAAGTTGCACAAAGGTCAGCAGTGTTTTTATACCGAGATAAATGTTTTGACATTGAGCTTGGAGATCTTTGGCATGCTTTTACTGTAGCATAGCCTGCTACCACCTACCGTAATCAATGTTTGCTTCCTTCTGCTAGATCTATCAGTATGTGAGTCAGACTTTTAAATAAACTAAGTTATGTTGTAATGCAGCATTGAGGCTTTTGGAACATAGCTGTGTCTAAGGAACAACTTAGAACACACAACAACTACGTTTATTGTGTGTTTTGGCCAGGATTTCCTTTGACTTAGTTAACCCTTTAAGGGATAAGCCTAGGAATTGTCTGCCTGGACATACAGTCCTATGCAAAATCAGTAACATCAGTTATTGAACACAAATCATAAATGTTAAAAACCAAAATAGTATGCATAAAAATAGAATTTTTAATGCTTTTTTTTTATTACATACAGATTTTTCGCATTTTTATTACAAACAGAATGGAACATTTTGAATTAACAGCAAACCACTTTATTAAACCACTCTTGTGTATATGTATAGGTTTGTGACCATTTCCCAGCTCTGTCAGTAGTCGTTTTAGTTATTTTAGTAGTAGTATTGTATAGAGGTATGCTCTTACTGGTGATATTTATTGCTATCTAGCTGTACAGAGCCATATAACACTCACTTCTCTGGTGTTTCCAGCCCCCTCATTGCCCTCGAAAAACATTTGTACATTTTCAGCACCCATCTTGAAGACAATGTTTGTCTGAAGTCTGATGTCACCTGCTTTGGAATCTAGGAGTTGCGCTATTGCTATGCCAGCAGTCTTGTTTTGGAACTTGCCATGGGTGGGTCTGTAAGGGTAAACCCCTGCTTTGATTGGAACTGCTGGATGGTGTACTTAATCTCACTGGCTGTCAAGCGCTGAGAACAAAAAAGTATATGTAGAAAGAAATGGCCAATAAATTTTGATCTATGTAAAGTGATCTAATACAGAGACAATATACAGGACTCTGCAGATGTAGTGTTGATCAGACCTGGGATTTCACAAGGATTTACGACACACATCACACATGGCATATTGTCGGAAAGTTCAGCTTCTGTAGTTTAAGCTGAAACTTGGTTTGTTTATTTCAAGTTATTTAAGGTTAAACACGTTATTGTGCCACTGGTGCAACGTTTGTCCTTTAAGGGTCAATAAAGCCAATCTGGAATGGAAGGTAACATGCTGTCCTCTGCATCATGCAAATCTTGACTTACATGCATGCTATCATACACACATACACATACACAGACACATTTGCAGAGTAGAAATAGACACATTGTTAGTCCAGCACCCATTCTTCCCTGAATCCCCCTGAGTGATTTTTTTTTTTCCACTCATCTTTTTTTATTCTTGTTGGGGAGCTCACCAGTAGCTGCACCTCCCAAAGTGCCTGGGGCTGAAAAACATCCATCTGAGTTCACCGCTGCTCGGAGACTGCGCTTCTTGGCGCTAATTAGTCTCCCACAATGCACCAGGCCCGGCAGTGTGCCCCGCTTGGCAGCGGCCACGGGTCAGCCGAGTGCAGCGCCGAGGCAAACGGGGAACGGTTGTGATCTCTTAAGCTTCTGTTGAAGAACGGGGCCGAAGCGCTGGGCCCTGAACAGAACAGATCGCTCCCTTCGCCCCGCGGAACAGAGGGGGTCTCTCATCCTGTCCCGCCTCTAGCAGGTCACATGACCTGAGGGGGAATGTTGGGAGGTGATGAGTTGACATCTGCTCGAGTGACAGGTCTGATGATGGGCGAACCCGCTGGCAGTAAGTGTGTGTATGTGTTAAAGCCAGAGAGTCTCTGTTTTTGTGGCAAACTTGGAAGCAGGCGGATTCTTCATGCTTAGTGGTGCAAAGAGAAGGGCTGATGAGGCACATGCACAAAATGGACATAAATGAGTCTAAGGGCTGTCATGATTAATCTACTAAGATTAATAACTAAATTAATTAATGCAATTAAAATTAAAGCCAGCTACTAAATAAAAAAAATAATTGATTAAAGTTTATGGTGCTGATAAATCGGCTTACCTAAGATAAACATGGTATCTGCAGTCATTATGAAGCCATGTTCAGTAGTCTGAAGGTTCTCCGAGGGGGAGTTATTAGCATGCAAGTTGCTTTTGATTTACAGTGCTCAAAAGAGTCTTCGTACATGCTGTTTATCAAATACGGAGACAGATGAGTCTGCTTAGGCTTTGTTGAGATATGTGTTTTCATAAGTATTTTAGCAGGTTGTCATAAAGTTCTCATGTCCTGTTGCAAGTGAAATAATTTGGTAGACGAACATGAGTCTTGTTCAGTATCGATAACTTGACATTCAGTTTCAGTTAATGCCAATTAGTATCAATTTATAGAGACATTTCATGTCCCATATTAATCAGCTAAAGCTGATAGTACCTGTCAATTCTGTATTTTCCACTTCACAGTTAGTCTTCAGTTTTTCAAATAAAGGGAGAAGACTCGTAAAATTGTAGCTGGGTAGAGTTCTTGAGCTAAATGTACAGCTGTCATCTGCATGGGTATGACATGGTGATAACCTAGTAGTCTATCTTGTTAATTGTTAGGAAGTGATAATTTTGAACTTTGTTAGACGTTGTAGTCAGTTTGTTTCATATCCCTGTTGTTTTTTTCTAGGAAATTTTATTTTTATTATGCATTTTTAGCATTCACAATTATAATGCCGATAACTATTTCGGTGCCCATGTTCCATTTAGTCCTGATTCACAACTCTATGTTGATTTTTTTTTTTTCCCATTGGTTTTGTTTTCATATTAAAAAGGTTTGATTCATTTTCAGCTTGTCATTTTTCTGTTTTTTTCTCCAGTAATGTTTTAAAACAGTGATCAAAAAGCGTAACCAAAGGCCGTTAGGTGAATGTGACGTACATATACGACAAGAAAATGCAGAATATTTTTCGCAGTATTTTTGCATCAGAACTTTTTTTTTTATAATTTGCCATGTTGTTCACACTGTGACCAAAACAAACACATGAGCAGTATGTCATCAAAGGCAGAAAGATGTACTTTGTCATTTAAAAATTGGTGGGGAGGCTTCTCTCCATTTTGGAAAAGTGAAAGTAAAATGGAGCGCTTCATTGCTTCATTCATGAGCTGGAACTTTGAGTGCTGCCTCGTATAACTCTGATGTCCATAACTCTGTTTGAGGCCCATTAGAGGCGTTTTTGGAGATGCTAACACCATTCGTGACAAAGCAGTAATCTATTTGGCTGGGACGCAGCTTAGCTGTCGCCATGCCAATGCTGGAGACAACAGTGATTCGTGAGTTCATGTCACCTGCAAAAGTTTGCAAAAATTGAACAGAGGGCAAATAAAATACTGAGGCATTTTCATCTTCAGAAAAATTGCTTTTGGTATGCAAGATATTGGTATGTCAGTTATACCCATGCTTTTATTCATTTATTGTTGTGTAAATAAATCACATGAATAATTCACGCTCGGTGTGTAAAAGCATTTACTCTTTAAAGTGTAAGGAACTCTACAACAGGACTCTAGTGTTTTCTAGAATTATGCTATGGTCTGAGGGGTTTAAAAGAAAAAAAAACGTTGCGCACTTAATTATCAAAATAATCACTACGTTATCCGATTACCAATATAATCACTAGTGACAGCCCTACTGAGTATCCAAGTTGTGCTTGCGCTTATACATGCACTCTATTGTCTTTGACTGTTGATATGGCCCAAATACTCTTTGCCTTATTAGCCCCAGTGTCTTAGTGTTGGAGACGACTGCCATGCACCATTGCAGCTGTGAACAGCTGCAGTGGTAATTTGGAGGCTTGTGCCATCTCCCATTGATCTCCATTGATCTCCTTTGTGTGAAGGGCCTACACATATGCACATAATTCTGCCTTCCGAAAGCATGAATCTTTCAGCCAATCTGCCTTGGGGTTTTGGGGATGAGGGATTGTGGGGGTAGGGGGGTGATTGAGGTCATAAGGCCTTGGTTAAAAATCATCAATACCTGTGCATTGTATTCCTGCATCTGCATCTATTATTCCGTTTGATGCAGCCTCTCTGTTGGAGCTGATTTGGTCAGCTGACTACGTGGCCCTGTGATGAGGGCTGGGTGGGGCCCCGGCCAGCGTCGGGGCTGGCTCCCAGCTGACCTTCACAGCAGGCGGGGCACGTGCTCTCAGTCAATACCACTGGAGCTTCAGCCACGCACAGCACGTCATTTCCATTATTGACACCTCAGTCTGCGCTAAGGAGGAAGTGTGTGTTTCTGTTTAAGTTAGAAAGCCTTGGGACCGCTAGAGCTGATATTTTGAGGTGCTGAGTGAACAAAGCATTAGAGGACTATAGACCTATATTAAAAGCATATTAGTATGCTTATTTATGAGTATGGATGCACCCATATGGGAAGTGTGTTCTGATGCCAATACTCCATGCCTTTCATGCCACATGTCTGCTGATACTGATACATAAGCATTTATTAAGTGCAGAAGTTGGGACTTCATCTACTTGGATTAGCATTACAGTGAAATGTAGCATTTCATTCTATAGAGTTACAGTAAAGTCAATAAAATGCAGACATTTTAGCTTTGTAACACAGCGTCACCTAAACATTCTGCTCTTCTGGAGTA